TATTCAGATGTGTGAATCCGTGACCGCATGGTTCCGTGTCTCCGTCTGTCTGCAATCTCCGTATATGCGCGCTTCCTGCGCGCGAGCGATCTGTTCGCATTTCCGGCAAGCCGCCTTTCAAAATAAAGGTCTCTATAGGTTAAATAACTAAAAGTTACAAAGCAAACCTCCAAATATATAATAAACTAATAAACCAATTAAGAATAGAACATATATATTAAGATAATATTAAGAAATATTGAATTACGATAATGTCAGAATGATATCTTAATGCCCAAAACTTAATAGAATAACTGAGGGTTATTTATAAATATGGCATGCAAAATTGTCAAACAATGCAGGCATAATGATGTCATTGTTAAAATTTAGCTTTGGAATTGTGAAGTGTGCTTTTCACATAAAGTATCAGTGACATATTAAGTTCACCCTTCACATGATAATTTAATCATCATTTTCTTGGGTTTTTTTTTTACACTTATTTTTTGTCTATACCTCTAAAGTTAATTGTGTCCAATTGGGGTTCTTTTGCACCCCACTGACTTTCACTAAATGCACTTTATTTATTATTTTTTTTAATTCCATTTTTTCACAAATGTTAAAAAGAAATATTTTTAAAAAAATTAAGATTGTTGTGGGAGGTTTCCAACACTGTAAAAAAAAAAATATTGACGGTTTAATTTAAAAAAGTAAGTAACCTGGTTGCCTTAAAATTTTAAGTTGATTGAACTGGAAAAAGTGAGTTAATACAATGAAGGAGATTAATTTAACCCTCAGAAACTCAAAATTATATGTTATCTGAACTAAATAAATTATTTAAGTTGATTTGACAAAAGAAAAAAATGTTGTGATTACTACACTGTAAAAAAATATTGTTGGTTTAACTTAAAAAAGTAAGTAACCTGGGTTGCCTTAAAATTTTAAGTTGATTGAACTGGGAAAAAGTGAGTTAATAGAATGAAGGAGATTAATTTAACCCTCAGAAACTCAAAATTATATGTTATCTGAACTAAATAAATTATTATAAAGTTGATTTGACAAAAGAAAAAATGTTGTGGTTACTACACTGTAAAAAATATTGTTGGTTTAACTTAAAAAAGTAAGTAACCTGGGTTGCCTTAAAATTTTAAGTTGATTGAACTGGAAAAAGTGAGTTAATACAATGAAGTAGAATAATTTAACCATCAGAAACTCAAAATAATAAGTTATCTCAACTAAATAAATTATTATAAAGTTGATTTGACAAAAGAAAATATGTTGTGATAACAAATCTTGAAAATATTTTTTACAGTGAAGGTGTTGTTATGTAGTTGCTAGGTCATTCTTAAGTGATGAGCAAAGGTTAAAACATTGCTTATGGTCACATCACTAACTGTCTGTATGACGAGGCCTATATCAATCTAGGTGTTTAAGAACACACCCTCAAAATTGCAAAATTCATCTTTATCACACACAGGCTACCTGCAGGTATAATCCTAATCGCTTTGATGTTTATGCTAACTGAGGTGTTTGAGGAATTCCAAACAATGACAAATGGCTTCACTTTTCTTGGAATCCTGCATGAGACGATCCATTATCTTTGACCAATGTCTATGAAGGCAATGACGGGTACACACATGTCTATTTCCGTTTCCTGTACATTCCTCTTGTGTTAGCTATGGCCTGCATCACAGTTAAGAACACAAACATTTCATGATCTGTCTCTGGAAATCAAATACCATACATGCCTGTGGTTGGTTGGGGTGTGTGAGGGGGTATACTGTAGGCTATATGATTATTTTGTAATTATTTTTAATTACAAAGATAATTTAGTTCGTTTATCTGCACTGTACTATGAAGAGTCTCTTTAGCCATCGATAACACTTGACGTTGAGAACCTTTCATTTAGTTTCAGCGCATTTACAGCGCCCTCTGGTGGCGAACCGAGAGTAGACGTTTATTACATTAGCGGTCTAAGTTCCTTTAAAAAAAAATAAACGCAACAAATGAGTGAGTGAAAAAAGTAAAGAGATAGTTATTTATTCATGGAGCCTGACGTTATAATATAAATATAGGGAGGCAGTGGCCATGTTGAGGCATGATATCACACTTTATGGGATAAGTTGTAATTTCTCAGCATTTATAAATATATTATTATATAATATATAAATTCTATAAAACACATGTGAAAATAAAATTTGACATCTTACCCCAACAGTTAAATTATTTCAGTGTGGTTTTATTGTGTGCACTTGATTTTCAACAGCTATGACAATAATAATAAATATGATGATATTGTGATATTAGTTTGTTAGTCAAATTAATTAAAAAAAAATCTGATTTATGATGATAAAACGTAAAACAACTAAAACTCAACAATTAATCAATCAACGAATCTACATTATTTAGAACTATGATGATGTACCAGTAGGGGGCGCTATCACCAAAGCTCTATGGTCTCACTCTATCTATACTGCCTTCAAGTGAAGTTAACAGTATTAAGAATACTTTTTAACGCCTTAAGACATGAGTGCATTTAAATAAGACTTAAGTAATTACTAATCTCTTAATTACTTAATTACAAAACAATTACTTCTAACACCTCATGTCACCTTCATTTATATTGCCTAGCGCTTAAAACAATATAGATTGTTTCAGAGCAGCTTTACAGTGATGATGATGATAGGAAATCACAGTTACAGAGATTGTTTCGGCGTAACAGCAGCTCTAGAATAAAGTTATCGTCCAGCTAAAGATAGTTTTGATTGATTCACTTCCGTTGAAAAGATCATTAGTTATTTACTTAAAGGAGTAGTTCACTTTAAAAAAAGACATTTGCTGATGATTTACTCACCCCCCAAGATGTCCATGTCTTTCTTTCTTCAGTCGAAAAGAAATGAAGGTTTTTGATGAAAACATTCCAGGATTTTTCTCCATATAATGGACTTCAGTCTGGGAACCAAACGATTCAAGGTCCAAAAGACACTTCAGTACAAACTGCAAACTGTTCAAAGGGCTTTAAACGATTCCAGACGATGAATAAGGGTCTTATCAAGCGAAACGATCGCTCATTTAATAAATAATTAACAAAGTTTAAGTTTTATAAGCACAAATGCTCGCCTTGCTCTGTTCTGTGATGCGCGCTGCGTTCGTGACTCTCCTGTTCGAACTCGTTCATCAAAATGAGCGAATCTTTTTCCGAGTCAACTCGTTCATTTCGTTCGTTGAATGAACCAAATGACTCGGGGAAAATATTCGTTAATTTTAATTAACACAAACCTTGAAATGCGTTGCAATGTGCAAGCCTTTAAATAATAATAAAAAGTTTATCTCTGTGCAAACTTCAAAAACGCAAAGCTTTGAAAACGCTGAGGAGCTATGATTGTGAAAACAAGGACACTGTAATGTTACCAGATATAATGATTGTATTTAATTAAAATGACATCAGATCTTTAATCAAAATGATCAGTCAAATCAACAGTTGCCCAAAACATTTGTAAAAAATGCTATTAACAGCATTAGTTATTAGAATCCATACATTAACAATATCTTTGCATATAGTTTGAAATACAAGACAGAACACATAATCATTTTGTGCATAGATTATCGAATAAATAAACATGGCCAAAGCAACTGCAGACTCTTGTAACATTGAAATTCATGTTACTCTTATATTTCTGATAATACTTTGTCCTGTCTGTAAGATCACACAAGAGATCTGTCTATCTGGACACATCACAACAACGGGAGGAACACCATACTGACATCTTCTTCCCACATCTAAATAATCAACGCCACAAGAACAACTGAAGCATCGACCAGAGCCGCTCATCTTCTGGGTTTGACCATATTCTAGACTATTTACTGGAAATGAATGAGTGTTTAAAATGCTGGCCAAAAAATATTCTACTGACCATCACATAAAATAAAGAAAAACACATATACACTGCAATGCCATAGAATATAGTATAAATGCATATAAAAACATACATTTGTACAGTAGGATTTCTATTAAGATTTACAGTTAGATAAATTTGTTTCATTCAATGGTTCCATGCAGTAACGCAATAAAACGTGAAAATGGTTGTTGAATTTTATTGGCACCTTATATATAATTTTGTTAAATATATGTAATAAATGTTTCCATTTTATCACACACTGATCACACACATACTGTATATATGCGTCTTTGTAAAATGTAGAATGCAGACAAGAACATACACATAGATCAGGAACATAATGTATCTACATAATGTTAAACGAAGCAAAAATGACTCACCCAAAAAAAGAAATAGTTCACCCAAAAATAAAGTTCTGTCATCATTTCTTCACATCCTCATATCCAAACCGACATGCAAGGCAGAATGTTTAAGCTAAGGCATCTTAAAAATACCCTAAAGTGCTCCATACAACGCATGAACACTCTCAGGAAAAAAGGTACAAAAGCTGTCACTGGGGCTGTACCTTTTCAAAAAGTAAACTTTTGTCCATTTTAGGTATTAATATGTATATTTTAGGCACCAATATGTACATGTAGGTGCTAATATGGACATTTATTTGTGTACATTATATGTACATTTTAAGTGCTAATATGTACATTTAGGTGCTAATCTGCACATTTTTGGCACCAATATGTACATGTAGGTGCAAATATGGATATTTATTTGTTAATATTGTAGGTTCTATGTTCATTTTAGGTGCTAATATGTACATTTTAGGCACCAATATGTACATGTAGGTGCTAATATGGACATTTATTTGTTAATATGTACATTATAGGTTCTAATATCTATATTTTAGGTGCTAATATGTACATTTAGGTGCTAATATGTGCATTTTAGGTGCTAATATGTACATTTTAGGTGCCAATATGTACCATTAAGGTACCAATATGCACCCTTTAGGCACTGTGTATAATTATTTTATATATATAAATACAACACATGCTTTCATATATTTAAGAAATATTTCATGTGTATACTGTATATAGATTTATATATAATTTATATTATATAAATAATATTTTTTTTCTTAAATATACATGCATGTGTGTGTGTATTTATATATAAATACAAAATAATGATACACAGACTTTTATTTTCGATGCGATGAATCGCGATGAATCGTTTGACAGCCCTAATAAAAAGCGCAACACTTTCGCTGATTCTTTCTCTTCTCACACGATGTAAATAACCCTGTTTTATTATTTCTCCTGCCTGCATATCGAATACGCCAGAGGGTGATGAAGACGTAGGTGTTGGTTTGTGTCTATGCGTGTCATTTTTGCCCCAAGCCCCTGTTCGTTTCCAACACTGAAGATTCTGCCAAACATGCAGGTTTAGGTCATTATTAGGTCTGTAAAAATGAAGAAAGAATTGTCATTTTTGGCTGAACTTTATCTTTAACACTTAGTGTCCATGGATGTTCTTGAGCCGTCTACCGGTTGAGCTCGAGGATGCTTTCTGTGGTTTCTTTGAGAGATACTCTTCCAGGTCGTCATGGGAACGCCGGGAACCTTGGATACTCGCTCTGACTGAACCACTCCCCGGATTTGCTCCTTGTCTTCATCGGAGGAAGAGCTCATCTCCACCGTTGGCTCGGTGAACACAATCAGCTGATTTTTACGATGAGGAACTTCATCTGTCCCTTTCTCCTTCGTGAGTACAGTGACCGTCATCTGGGCCACGCTGTGGTGCAGAGAAGCGCTTCGGAGGAGCATGTTGGAGCGTGGCTGCACCATCTGGATCCCGCCTATAGGAATGGTGAGGCTGACACTGGGAATCATCACCTGGGGCTGGGAGTGCAGGGGCAGGTGACTTAACACACGCTGGCCTTCTTTCCTGGAGAGACGCCCATGTGGCAGAGGCATCATGTTGGTCCTTCGCTTAGGACTGTGTGTTTTCTCCTTGAGGGGAGCCAGAAAGACATGTTTTTTTTAGTGAAATCACCAAGTGACCACAGGTGGAGTCATCTTTATTCTAGGCAAAAGGACGTTATTTCTAAAGTGTGTGGTTTTTTGCAGCTAAAGATAGTCTTGGTTCTTCCCAAATCTAGTAGATGGTAAACAGATAAGTATGCATTCATCATTTCATGGGTTACTATCTAAGGCTTTGGCTTTAATTGTATGTAAAGACTCTATTTGTAATAAAGGTGCGACACAAAAATAACACAGTGTGCTTTTAGAATCGGGGTATTTGTGTTTGGATGTTTATCTTGGATATATTTGGGTGTCTTGTTTTCAGATTTTTTTGCACACAAATACATAAAAAACTCTATAATTGGAGTAAAACAAACTTTGACAAAGAAAGAAGCATCTACATACTGTATTTAGCTATCAAGGCTAACAACCCACAATTTATTATTGAAACAAGGATGAATGGTTGTTAAAAGAGAGCATGGATCATTCGAAGAAAAATTCGAATACATAAATACTTCAATCAAATAATATGTTAAATATTATAAATTACTTGCTGAAAAAAAAAAAATTATATACTTCGGACCAACTTCAATTATTAGTTTTTCAAAAATGTTTTCTGTCTAAACTTTTTATAAAAAATATTTATTTTCCCACTGATAAAAATGGTTTTTATTATAAAGATCATCAATGTGTGATTTAGTTTCCTAAAGACTAAATGTATTTTTAGAAAAATGAATAAAAGCCACAATCAGTAAAGCTAGCCGATATGTGAAAATACTATTTAAATCAGTTTTTCTTAAAAAATAAATAAATAAATAAATAAAATTCAATGGGTGTAATTTGTTTCTAAGGGTAATAAAAGTGTAATTTGTTTTAGAGAAACTAAACAAAACGGGTTTAAATGGGAAACCATTATATATATATATATATATATATATATATATATATGAAGAGTTCAGATGCAAAAGCCTCTAAGTGCCATTTGAAATTTTCTTCTTTAATGATGATTTTTATCAAACTTGTATATTTAAGTTCAGTAATTTCACTTAAATGGCAATGATAATTACCTATTAATTGTTATTAAAGTGAAATTACTGAACTTAAATATACAAATTTGATAAAAAATCATCATTAAAGAAGAAAATTTCAAATGGCATTTAGAGGCTTTTACATCTGAACTTTTCATATATATATATATATAATATAAAAATGCACTATATAAATGGCACGGACGGTCATTTAACCTTCTCAATGCTGGTTTAAACAGTCTTTTATGAGCATTCAGTCAGAAAGATGTCCATAAAGACACTTACCGGTTTGGTCTTGAGATTTAATCTGTTGGGTGAGGCTTTAGTAGACTCAGTTTGGTACTGAACCGTCACACTGGCCCCGACGGTCAGCGCAAGTGGACAGCTGTGAGGCGAAGGCTGTACGGGGGACGAGGCTCTAATGGGGGACGATGAGGCTGGGTGTTCAAAAGGAGACCGAGAGGAAACGCAAGATGATGGAAAGAGACTGTGTTTTGGAGAGGGACAGCGCAGAGGGGACATGTCACGCTGAGGAGACTGCGGTAAAGCAGGGGAGATATGCAGGCCAGGAGACGGGGACGAGCACGTCCCTGTGGTGGGTTCCAGGTGGCGAAGGGTTACTATAGACTTTGTGGTCTTCGGAGAGGCAGCTTCTCCATAGTGGCTTGGTTTTCGGGGGCTCATACTGACAGGCGGATTTGGATGTTGTTCCCAGCCTGGGTTTGGAAAGCCCGAGATGTCACAGGAGCCAGAATTATCCCTGGAGAGAGACGCACTCTTGGACGATGAAGAGGAGCATGATGCTTGCCCGTCACCCTCATCATCATCATCATCATCCTCGTCCACATCTGTCTCCTCTGCGTCTGAGAACTGGTGCTCCTCCACCAGATCCGTCTCAAGGTCACCTACAGCACAAGAGTCACTTACATTCAGTACGGTTAATTATGCTAATAAACAAAGAGAAATGCACTGAACTAATTGAAGCACTAAGTAACTCTACTTAATCCAAATGCCACAGTAATTCATAGTAAATGCATCATTTATTTCCAAATGATCACAATAATCGATGAATCATATAATTTTCTCAAAGTCATATAATACTTTCAACAAACTACAGAGAACTACAAAAAGAAGTGATTGATAGACTAATACTTGATGATCCATGCACGTGGCTGCTGAAAATTCAGCTTTGCCATTACAGATATAAATTACATTTTAAAACATAGTTGTAATAATCTTACTGTTTTAGTGTATTTGTGATTAAATAATACTAATAATAATAAGAAGAAGAGACTTCTCACCTCCCTCATGTGTCTCAAGCTCACACTGAACTGGTCCTGGAGCAGTTCCCTCTGGACACCTCTTCCCATGAGCCTTTGACTTCATGTGTTTGGTTAAATTCCCTGAAGAAAACAGTATGACAGCTTCAACATGGGAATGGAAACTTATTTATATCAAGTTGTTCCCTGTGAGAGTACAGGTGTAGACTGTCCATGTAAACAACCTCCGATGTCATCGAACTAGTGATACAATAACATCTATTATTAACCTCTATTTTTGTTGTGTTGGCAAGATTTCTACTACAAGACAGGATCGTGATTAGTTTAACCCTCTGATGGTCATTGGCCACTTCTGACCGAATCATTTCTGTTTTGAATTTTACAAAAATCCCAGCTTCATCGGAAGGTTATGATACTGGGTACATTTTGAGGCATTTGGTATGTGAATACAAAAAAAATTGAGGTCATGATCCAAGCATACTAAGTGGTCGTAAAAAAAATATACACACTCGTGGTCTTCGGTCAAAAATGACTGACCCATAGGAAATTATTATTTTAATAATTAAGTATTTTTTGTCTTTACAATCTACAAATCTGCCACGATTCTAAAAGAAAGTACACCGCAGTAAAATGTTGACACTCTACAACATCAAGAGTGCAAAAAATTTACACACACACACATTTTTATACACAGTACATACACACCAATAAATTCAGATTACAAAAAATCTGTTTTGAATTTTTTTAAATCACAGCTTCATCTGAATGTTACGAAACTTGGGGATATTTCTGACATCAGGGAAGCGAACACACACAAAAATTGAATTCATGATCCGAGCATGCTAAGTGTTCGTAAAAAAATTAGTCACAATTTTGGTCTTCGGTCAAAAATGACCCCCGTTAGGAAATGAATGGGAAATTGACAAAAACACAAAAATTCACCTATTTTTTTTCCACAATTTTTTCTAATAAGAAATTGTTTTTGAGATTGTTTCAAATATATATTCGAATCCACAAAAAAATGTACATGCCATCTAGTGGTTACACCATGGTTCTACAGTTTTTCTCTTTACTGTAACCAGATGGTGCTAATTTTCTTCAATTTTTTTTTTCTGAAGGCCTAGACTCTATATTAAACTAAAATACTGCATTAATCATTTTTTGAAAAAAAAAATATATATATAGAAAAATATATATATTTCCATGGCAAAAATCAACCATAAATATTGCATAAATATTAATAAATTCAATCAAATTGTCTCAAAATACTAAATTAAAAATAATAAATATTATAAAACAAAAATAAATTGCAATAGTTTTTACTGGGATGGAGGAAGTTTAATTTTTATGTGTCCGGTCACTTCTGACCCAGGACGTGACTCCTAAACGAAGACCATCAGAGGGTTAAATTTGCTTCTTGCTATTGGGAGAGTGGCAGTCTTATCCCACAGTACATTTTATTTGACCAAATATTTACAATTGCCCCTGACTGTACATTTAAATGTGTATACCTGCTAAAAGTTCATCTTGTTTTTTAGGTGTACACTAGCGTATAATAGTTGGACTCAAAGTTAATATTAAGTGAATATTTTACTTTATCACTAATATGAATATAATATGGACAGACATGAACTAAAAGCCACAAATCTCCATTCATCCGTTGTGCAGCATACCTTTGGTTTTGAAGGCAAAGTTACAGTGCTGACAGACGTAAGGCCGATCGTCCGTGTGTAGTCGAATGTGTTTGCGCAGCATGCTGGGTTTCTTACAGCGTATTCCACACTCTTCACATACATATCGTCCTCTGCCCCGGCCACGGACATACACGTATTCCTCACTTGACCTGTATCTGGAAAAACACAACAAAAAAGCTGAAAGGATATGTTGTGTGAACATTCATAATGATCTGGAGTCACTGACAAATAACAGACTGACCCCAAAAATGTTGGAAAAATGTCAATAGTGCTATTTATCATAATGGAAATTGTGGCTTTCGAAGTCTAAAGGTAACAAAACAAGCACCTCATAAAATACAGTAAGTGATGAACCAAATGGAAACTTCATGGGCAAAGAAGATTAAAAAAAAAACTAAACACAAATGCTGAATTACAAACATGTTCTATTCATTAAAAAAATCATCTTGAGACATTAATGTACTGTATAATCACCGATGACAACCATGTGTTTAATTAGCAAATCAAACACACACATATATAAGTGCACTTTGCATTTAAATGAACTTTTGCAAAAATTTGACATACACTACAGTTGCACATACTCTAATGAAGTACACTTCTTTTTCACAAGGGAATCTCATTTGGGTTTGATTAAATAAAGACTTTGCCTGACTGAAATGCGATATCCGACTAGCACTATTTTTTAAACAAACAGAATGGAGCGGAAAAGCAGCACATGTAGGTTGTCATTGACACTGCAAGCTCTCAACATCACCTTTAGGTTAATTAAAATAGCAGCAAAGCAAAGCAAAGCCTCTGGGCTGGAATATGTGCATAAAGAGGCCTTTACAGTGATCTCACAGGTCTGTGTGGGAGATCTGATCTCAAATCTACAGTATAGCACCTGCATGGCATGCTTTTAAAGGTGCTCTAAAACTTGGTATGCTTGGCACAGACCCTCTTTCAGACACCACGCATGCATATATATCCATACACACCCCCTCCGCCTACCCACAGACACACACACACACACACACATGGGTAGTCTGGCCTGTTTGTGTCCAGAAAGTCCCAAAACGGGGCCTCCACTTGACCTCAAACAGAGCTCCATTTATAATGTCAAGAACTAGGGCCCCCTCCCTTCGACCCCCATCAGCACCACCCCGGCTCAAACACGGGGATCTTGCAATGCCGCTCTGTGCCCACAGCCCGGGCTTCTGTGCCAATGCAAACAGCTGAGAGGGGGGAACCCTAGAGCCAACCAGCAGTTCATAACCAATAACACCAGTACAAATCAAGACCTGTGTTGCCAGCTTTCTTAAAAATAACAGCATCATTTTTGAGAGATTTTTTTGAGTGGTTTAGCTTTTTAGATTTAGGCTGTGCCGCGATATATTCACAGTAACAGACTACCGTTCACCACCACAATTAATATGATCCAATGCCATTCTAAACATACCGGAATTCCAAAATTGGAAATTAAAGTGGGTCCAAAAGGCACTTCATTATTATATTATTTGATGAAAATGAGATTTTTCAGTCTCAATCATGTGGGATGAGTTATGCACTGACCTTTAATAACTAAATCTAAGTACGAGCCCTTTTGCGCCGACGTCACAGTTGCGTCACGGCGCTAGCTGGAGGCAAAACAAAGTGAAAACTGGAGGCGGCCAATACAAACCAGCACAGATTCGGCTGCATAATAAGGAGCTTAAATAATTGTTACTATTATTAAATGTCATCTTGTTGTGTTGTTTGGTGCAAGAATTGATGATTGATCTGGAACTTCTATTTCTAGAAAATATTCACATCATTAAAATCGCACTGTAATGTCACTCTTTACATTGTCGTGGTCTCGGCGTTGGCTCGGCAGAACTGCGGATCGTACACACAAGTCTTGTACAGGACCATATAGGCATCTAAAGATTTATATGCCCTGTACGATCGGTTTCTCTGTAAGGTAGGTGTAGAAGTCAGGCCACTCAACCGAGGTAACGTAACGTACGTTAATCCTGTCAGATCATCCATCCATTGAGTGAGCGTGTAGGCGGCTACGGGTTGGCCAATCTGGTTCCGTTCGTTAAAAATAACTTTTGGAAATAACAATCGCGGTCCTGGACACTGAGTGACCGTACACATTAAGATAATATCGGATTTTCTCCAGTCATTGTTAAAAAAACAAGCTAACAATCCTTGCTAACTAGCGTTAGTGAAGCGGCCAGAGGGATCGCTCTGCCTCCACCTAAGCTCCGCCCACAAAAAAACGTCACCATGTTTACCAACTGAAAAGGGTCTATTGACAACTTGTTATTGAAAGGTAAGACATGGCCCGAAGAAAGTGCATCAATCATGACATAAATATGTGAAAATTCATGACATATTCATTATGTGAGGATGAACTGTGCCGAAAACACATAATTACCATTCACCTGAAACCCAAACTTTCACTCAAAATCACTCCCCTCATACATCACGTAAAACCTCAGAGCTTCCATTTTAAGATGCACAAACCACCTTAACCACCTTCAGTGTTCTCATTCTGAAGAGACACAAATGTCTCCTAAAGTAAAGACCACACTTGGAGAAACGGCACAGCCAAATTATGAGTAAATTGCATGGCTGTATTCTGTGTTACTTCAGAAGTGGTTGGTGGTTGTTTTAGGAAGACTTGTGTCTGTAAACTGTGGCTGTAATCGCAATCACGACAGACTACATAACCTTGAAGAATTACATTTCTTTCTATCAGTTGTCTGACTTCTTTTGTAGTTCATGGAAGTTCTCACTCGAGCTGAAAAAAAAAAAAAAAAAGCATTGAAAGCATAAAAAATAAGCATTGAATGGCCAGTGGCTAGGCAGCTAACCCCTCACCCTAACTGGTTGGAAAAAACAAAAAAAAACAAAAAACATTATACTGTACTTATCTTTTGTTGCTCATGTTCAAGTCCATTCATCCAATCGAACTACACCCAAATTATACATTAAATATGGGTTCAGTTTCAAAAAAGGTTAAAATGGCCACACTAGACTTAACCTTCCACTGTCTTTCATTCTGATGCATTTATATGCATTTATACATATGCGCGGGAGACCGGATACACAACCTAATGCAAATACGTTTTGTTGCAAACGTAAAAGTTATAGTTTTTGTGAACTCTGACCTGCAAATCCATACGACGAGACCAAAATTTGCGAACTGCATTTCCAATTCAGCTGTTCATGTAAATAATTGTGGCTTTTCTTGGGCCTATGGAGTTTTCAATAAATATATTATTTACTTTATTACTGTGTTTGGTTGCCACTTAGGTATTAAAACAAATCCAGCTGAAAACCACGTAGATGTTTGTTTTTCATTCATCTGAAAACACCTCAAAATGTGACTCTACTGCCTCTTGGCCATCTCCATATGCCTTCAGCTCAATGACCAAAATCATTGATGCAGTATGGTGTAAATGGGACTCTGTGGGGTTCCACAGGAAGTGACCGCCAGGCTAGGTAGTTTCCTGGCTCGGGCCGTGTAACAGACGGTCCGTGTTGGCTCGGACAGCCAACCGATCTCCTGCAGCGGGGCAAGAACAGCACTGCTCAAAATACTGACAGAAAGCCACCGCACATACAGTGTGAGCAGGATGCACGAACTACAAAGATTCTAGCTTTTCTTACATCGGTGTACAAGAATCAACAGCTAACATGACATCATCTTTGAAGTGTTAAATGGTTAAATAAATGCATGAGAGAAAAGAAAGAAGACCAAGCATAATTCCGCATGCAAATAAATGCAAAATAGAACAAGAAGCACAAATAAGTATGCAAACCATACTTTGAAGTTTTATTTTTGAATGGCTAATGATGCAAGTCAATATTGATTTTTACAAGTGTAATGTTTACGAAAACAAAACTACACAGCACACATACTCCACTGAAGTATCTACAAAGGTATCCATGGAGGTTTAGGCTGAACTTCTTGCAGAAATGCATGAGCAAAATAAACCATTATCTATATCTATACAATGCTGCCTTGCAAACACAGTAGAGCCCGACCGATAAAGGATTTTGAAGGCCGATACCGATTCAAATATATTTGGGTTTTAAAATCCGATATATCGGCCGATATTTTTTTTTTTTTATTAAATATTGTTGGATTTCACACACGTGTAAAAGAAAAGCTCACTTTTCTGCACAAGATACGTTTGATACTTTTTCTCTCTGTCTAAATGTTCACTCCTCGCAAGTATAACTTACATTTTACAATGCAGGGACTGTAACTAGAGATATGCGAGTTATAAATACGGTAATCATTACTTTATTTAGGCAGAAAAAGTTCATTGTGGTTTCCAAGCTCATTAAGCGGTCTTTCACTGATGATAGTGGCATTAGCTAGCTTTGTGGTTAGCTAGTCTATGATGAGCCATAATTTAGCAATAGATAACATCATACTGCAAATTGTAAAACATACATTTTCAATATAACAGGCCAAGGAGAGATGATTGAAGCGTGTTTCGTCTGTTTTTATTTTATTTTTTAAATATTCATTTATCGGCCATTATGACTGCCGATACCGATATTTTGGAAAATGCTTAATATCGGCCTGGCTCTAAAACACAGTAAGAAATATTTACTTAAAATTGTTTAAGGCATTCATTACGCTGTTACACTTTATTTTCATTGCATATAAACACAAGTGTTATGTATTATTATGACTTACCCTCCCTCACAAATCTGAACCCGTGAACTGTACTTGGAGGTAGATAGTTGGTCGTCCTTCTCCATTGCTGTTTTCTTTTCTACCTCTGTCAACTCAGCTTGCTGGGCTTCTTTCGGCTCTGTGGACTGAGTGGCACGTACCTACACTCGAGAGAGACACGGGCAAGTTCACCAACCCTATTCCAGGAGCCCAGGGAGACAGAGATGGGGGGGGGGGGGTCTCATTCAACATTTTAAGTTGCCTTGTATACTTTTTATAAGTAAAATTTACAAGTTTACATTAACGTTGTCTTGTGAAGATTAAGATTAATCACATTTTAAAACAATGGAGTGGGGACGGTAAGTCACTTACCTTTTGTATTATTTAAAACCCTCATATGCCTTAATACTGGGCTAAAAAACATACTCCCTTGATTTAATAATATCAAAGTCAGCAAGCATAACAGTTATTCTCCCAACTGAAAAATATAGTTTAAAGTGGTCAAGCTGGGAACATACATGGTAGCTGCCCAGCAAACAAATTTAGGTTCTGGGAACGTTAGTCTTTGGTTCCCAGAACGTTCCTAGAACTTTTCCGTAGGGTTAAAGCCGTGTTCACACTACATGATTTTAAAATGTCGCGGTTCACACTATATGACTTGCTCTCAGTGAAATCAGGAGTGTTCAAGTCGTTGAGCTGTTCACACACACACACACACGACACAACATGATTGATCCACAACTCACTACACGAGCTGACAACGCACTACATAGAGATACAACCACGATCGGATGATAAAAGCAAATCATTTGTGACTCAATGAGAGCTGTTTCAGTACTATGGTACGGTCTAAATCCTGAAAATAATCAAATAAATAACAAGTCAACCAACGATCCTATCATGTCCACAAACCACGTTTTGTCACGAAAAAACATGCAATAAATAAATAAATATTGCGCCAATACCCAGCGAAGAAGAGAACACAACACGTGAATATGGACGTCAGACAGAAACTAGTGCTGCACACTGTTTGCGCGACGATCTGCTCTCCGGGAAAAAAATGCAAAAAAAGAGAAAAACTAAGATTTACCTGGTGTCCTCAACCCATGCGTTGCTCTGATTGGCTGTACTCATGACATCACTGAGGTTGAGTCGCGCGACGGCTCTGGATATCTAGCAGGCTAGATCTTGTTCTGGGCTCGGCGACGCGTCTGCGAGTGTTTTTGCTGCGTTGTTGGCTCTTTCACACTAACAGATTGGCAAGCGTTCATCGTCCGCTAATCCCCCACGCGATAACACCCTGACCTGTCGGCGAGCTCAATGATTTGCAAATCGGGCATAAATCGGGCTTAAAATCCTGTAGTGTGAACTTGGCTTAAGGGAACGTTCCCGGAACATTCTCCTTAGTCCTTACGTTATAAAAATGGAACCTAAAATAACCTAAATGGAACGTTCCTATAACGTTCCTTGTTTGGTTCCCCAAAAAATAACCTCATGGGACCATTCGGGAACGTTAGGGGAACGTTCTGTGTTTGCTGGGTGGTTAACCAACTACTGACCAGCTAGAAACCCTAAAACACAGCTGATTTTCCAAGCAGGGCATGAATGATTGACGTGATTAATGCAAGATTTGTTACATTTACCTCAGTCAAGTCAGGCTTTTGAGACTCAGGTGTCTCTTGTTTCCTGTCCAGAGGAGGTGACATGGCTGCCATGGTGTAGATGAGTGGTTCTGGTCTCTGCCTGCAGTGCAACAGGGCTAGCATGTCCTTGCTTGTCAAGCCAGGAGGGTTTGGATTGCGGGTACTTGTACACCACGTAGAATAGACTGAGTTTTGTTGTTCACTCTGTATAGACGGATTGGGCTTTATGTAGTTTAGATAGCACCAGGTAAAAGTAAGGTTAGTGTTAAGAGTCAGAAATGGTGGTTCTTTGTGTTCTGTTGGTAAGATGATACTTTGCTCACCCAGTCTTTCATCCTTCTTGCATTCAATCAAAACTTCATCATTCCCCCTTTCATTTTCCTGTTCTTTCACCCGTTTCTGCTGTTGCTCACTCTCAAGGCTGAGCTCCTCACTGCTTGTCGGGGATAGCACACGTTTGGTTGCTCCAGCACTTACTGATTTGAATCTATCAGATGTTGATTGTTGGTCCATGATTTCAAACTTTGAGGCCACTTGAACCGAACTGACTCCAGAGCAGCAAGGTTCCTGAGGCCTTGAGGTAAATGTTTGTGAAACTGTAGTATAAATAGAGCCTGCATGGTGTGGAAGGAGTGAATTGAGACGGACTGGAATTGTCTGGGCTGGTGAAGGTCTCAGTAGTTCTGTGTTTGAAGTAACGTCAAAACCAAGATTCCGATGGTGGCGATGAGGAGTGAGGTATGGTTGGTTGACCCTTGTCTCAGAATTCGCCAAGTCATTCTCCATTGGAATTTCAAGCTTGAGTCCAGTTGACATTGAAGAATAATGAGCTCTGGCAGCACCTGATGGACAAAGCAGACTTCCCATTGTTGTAGGCTGGTCAGTATGAATAAATGGGGTCAACTGCAATGCATTCTCCTGTGATTGCAATTGCATTATCTGCTTCTCACTAGACAGAAGATGGGTGTTGGTTGGACTGTACGAGATTGCTGGGCTATGGCTAGGTGATGTGCTAGTCCTTTGAGTTGGAGAACTGGTGTTGAAGAGTTTAGATTGATCCTCCTCCTCAGGTTCCCTCACTGCACTGTGCCTCATTAGAAGGCATTTCCGCCTTTCTCTCCATCCCGCAGGAGTCCGATCTGGGGACAAACTGCTGTAGTCAAAAGACTTACTGCGAGTTTCCTTAATAAGGTTAACATGTTGAGGAACATGGGGTGCCTGCTCAGATGCAGAGCGCCTCATTTCTCTGTGAGAACTTGAGGGAATTGTCAAAGTATGAGTGGCTCTTGATCTCCTAGTTGGTGTCATATCCGCCTCTTCAAATGAAGCTGATCGACTGGAGGCGTGAGACACGCAACTGTCTTGACTTGGACTGTGAGGCAGGGACATTGAATCAAAGCTTGAGTCCTCTGAAGACTGGGCAGCTTCTGCAAGACGGAGACGTTTCTTTTTAGGCGGTAACTTCTCAATTGGAAGTTGGGCCAAAGTTGGACTTCTTTGGGGCCATTGGAACTCACTGACCTTTTCAGCGTCCTTGATTTTAGGTACGGTTGGAGGGGGTGATACTGCCATTTTGTTGGTGTTTGAATCTTCAGTGACCAGAATCTCTGGCACTTGGACGTTGTGTTGCCGTACAAGTTTACGGAAGTATGGTTTAGTTGACTGCTCCTTTGATTGTGAGCAATGGGAGACATCATGAGGGTGAGGGACCTCATCTGGTCCAGGGTTTTTTAAAGTACCATCATGTTTCTCAAAAGAACTAGTATGCTGTATAACAGATATTCCTTTCAAAGCACATTCTTGGACCTAATTCAATGGTCCCTTTAATAGGCTGCTCACAAGATGGCGTATACCCCTTGAGTGATACATAAGAAACCGAAGGTAAAGAAGGATCGTCAAGTTCTATGCTCTCTTCTTTTCTTCTTTTTCTAAACGCAAAAGCACCAGGACGACTTGTGAACGTTCTTGTGTGTTCTTCCACTTGTTGTTGAGAAATATGAACCATGCAGTGGGTTTGATATCTCTCCCAGTCATTAAACACTATGCCACATGCATCACACTCAAGAGGCTCTTGTTTCCGGCTGGGATCAGGCACTGCAGGAACTGAGGGATGAAATGAAGAGCTGTGTTCATCTATGGTAATTTCAGCACCGATGGGCAATTCAATGGCGGGCTGTCGTCTTAGCATACCATGACGTCGATTCTGAACTGGTTGCTGGTCATCAAAGGATTGGCTAAGGCGAAGACTACGGGAAGTTTCAGACACGTCACTAACGCTTGCATCTGAGGGCATGGAGTGACTTCTCAGAAGAGGAGCGGTTGATGTTGAGTCAGTCGGTTCCATACTGAGAGGATGGTGCTGAAATTTCTCACAAGGTACACCGAGAGTAATTGAACCACTGCTCTTTGTACTCACATCTATTTCTTTTGGACTTTGAAGGAAAGGCTCTTTGGAAGAGGCTGGCTTCAGTTCTGTGCTGCTTCGCCTAGAGAGCGAGAACCTTCTTGGCTTGACACTGTCAATCTTACTGGTGTCTACCACAGCCTCATTGATGGTGATGAGTTTTGTTATGTGGTCAATAACTTGCTTTTTTGGCACAGAGAATGGAATTCGTTTACTTTCTTGCCCAGCAGGATGGGCATGTTGTTGATGGGCAGTCCTTTGTAATTGACCAAGACGACCAAACTTTCCAAGGATGACCTCTGCATAGCTTTTGGCACTTGTTGTGTTTGGTGGACTATCTTGAGAGACTTCCGTGCTCTCGGATCGAGAGAAATAGCCTGACTCTGTGCTACCTTTGCTACTTAGACCAAACGATGAGGATGTTTCATCAGATGATCCTATAGGTGTACGTCTTCCTTTACTGAGTCTCATTGCAAGTCTCTTTTTAACTGCGTGAGAATCCTCTGTACCTTGTTTATCAGAGCACTTTTCTGTGGTATTTTGCTTTTGAATGGACATCGTTTGTTTTTCTGAAAAGGAAGATGGTTTGCTTTCATCCTCTGATTCTGAAAGTGGCTCCTCGGAACAACTTGGTCCTTCCCGGTCTGCGGTAAGACCAGCTTTCACCCGGTGAGTATGTGATTTTCTGTGCTTGTACAGGTTACTTTTAGTCTTGAAGGAGAACCCACATGGTGCACATGGGTAAGGTCTCTCTCCAGTGTGGGAACGGATGTGTTTCTGAAGCACACTGGGCTTGGCACAAGCACGACCACAGTATGAGCACACATACTTTCCAGGCTTTTGAGGTTTACGCTCCCGTTTTTGTCGAGGTGTACCTTCCAGGGCCTCATCCATGGAACAGGATGGTCTAGCTGATACTCCTGAGGATGAAGCTCCAGACGGGATTTCACTAGGCTGCCTCATGTTATCATCAAGATTTCCAGAACTACCAGATGCCCTTGGTGGCTTTCCCTCTTCATCATTGTCTGTCTCCAGAGCAGTTTTCTTCTGTAATCTGAGACGCTTTCTCTCAGGATTAATACGTTTTTGCTGTCGCGCATGATGCTGCTGGGTGCCAACCTTGCTCTGGTCATGATCCTGAGGCTGGGGGCTCTCCACTGGAGTCTCATTCGGCTTTTCTAAACCTCCAGATTGCTCCCCTGTGGTCAACTGGCTATGCAAGGCCTCCATAAAATTTGATGAAAGCCTGAAGTACTGTTTATTCCAGACTACGAACGACCAATTAATTGAATGACTTCAGAGCATCGCTCAATGCATTGTTTCAGTCAACATATGCATGGATCGTCACAACTGTAGCATTCTGTATGCATCGTTGCTTGATTCTTCAAATTAATTTTATGTACTACAACGTTTTCAGTTACAGATAATTATTCCTCTTCTGTTTCTTGTGCTTTCTTGTCCTTTGAAATCCATGGCAACTATGTTTTATCCATGAGTGCCCTGTCTGGTTCTGCAGATGTTTTATGTTCTGCCTGGTTCAGATGACGATCCACTTCAAGGATTCAAATTCTGGGAAATACCAAAGGCAACAGAATTAGTAAGAATGTCAATTCTACATTATATGCACATGTATTTTAAGTTCTGTTAAAGAGGGGTAGAGGTGGGGTCACATTTGAGCATTTAAAATGTAATTTTACTTGAAAGTAACGCAATAGTTACTTTCTTAAGTAACTAGTTACTTTTAAATTTTTCAACTGAGTAACTAATTCAGTTACTTTTTGGAAGAAGTAACTAGTAACTGTAACTAATTACTTTTTAAAAGTAACGCCCGACACTGGCAGTCCCTCCAGAAAAACGCGATTATGCGATCGCTGAATTCAATGCAAAATCAGCCAAAGTCCGCATATTTATGCGGGGCCGCATTTTTTCAAAAACGCCGCACTATCGCCGCATAAATTGCCGATTTCCGTGCAAAATATGCGGGGTTTGCATAATTTCATAATCCTCGCATTTTCGTTGCAAAAAAAGTCACACGTATCTTAGCAGAAAGTTGAAAAATGTTGCGTTTGCTTCACACAAGAGCAGCCATTTCCCCCCGTTTCCATGGGAACGTTATGAAGTGACGCAATTACGCGACGCCAGACAGACTCACGGAGGCGATTGACATCTCACAAATCGAACTCGTATAACTGTCTGTCACACGTTCTACCGTCACATCGTTACTTAATAAACAACATAAGATAAAAGAAGTAGCATCAAACAGAAAATATAGCTGCGAGCAGCGATGGCGGGCCCAAGCCGGTGGCACCGCCACCCCGGTTCCTTTAGTTACCTAAATGCACCCGGGTGGCGGTGCCGAAGGCTTTGGCCCTTTTATGATTAAATGTTAAAACGGCTTGCCATACTCTGTCATTTCGACTAGTCACAATTATGTTACAGATATCTTAAATGATAATACAAACTATCCAAAATGTAATTACGAATAGACAGAAAGACGTTGTTGATATCTACAATGTTAATTCCGGACAGGCAAACTTAGCTTTTAAATGTTAAAAGGGCTTGCCATACAGGGACGTAGGCTCAGAGAGAGGCTCACCATATTCAAACCAAAATATCTGACTTCCTCTTGGTCCGAGCTAATGACTATGTATTAGAAAGTTGTCCGGCTTGAGGAGTACAATGTATATAGCATTTTTTGTAACTGTAGATAAAACTAACAACCCCACTTTTGTCAAAAGGTGGCGCTATTTAGTCCTTGCACTATGCCCGTTTCTGAAACTTTGCACATGTCTACTGGCTAATAAATGTGATGTATCTGTTGAGTTTCAAGCAATTTCAATTTCAATTTCAATTTGACTGTTGAAAAGAAGTGCGCCGATTAGATACTCAGGATCGGTATCGGCTCTGACACTGCCATCTTTGACGAGGCTGATTCAAATTCTATATTGTGCATATATACTATTCTATGTTAGGCACAAAGGCACAAAAACTTTCTAAAGTACCATAAAGTTTTGTGTACTGTATTATTAGTGTTCTGAAGCTATTATGTGATATAGAAATTAATATTTAAGTCATTAAATTCAAGAACACAAACTTTTCCCTCTCTGCGCCTGTCAGTCATTCTCCATTCAGCATTCAAACAGCACGTCACATTCGGTTACAGTCAATGATAAAACGATCTTCAATGATTCAATGTTAATCCTATTATACTGGATCTTTAAGATAAAGGTCTAAAGGTCTATATTTTCGAATGAAGAAACTTTTTCTTGCTGGACTTTATTGCTGTAACTTAACCGTGTTACTTTCTACCGGGTGTCGGACGCTGTCGGTTAGATCACAACACTAGAGTCAGAGCACTATAATTGTTCTTCACGCACACAGTAACTGAAATTTAAAACCTTTAAAAGAAAAGGCTCAATAAACTATTGCATAGATAGATAATGTATAATACACTGTTCATAAATATGTATTTCCTTTGTGCTTTGAACTTTTCAATACGGACTCACTGCGCTGTAACTTCATGTGGCTTCAAGCACATCATTCTCCGCTCGGGATGCACATAAGTGCTTTGTGCTGCACCGTATTGGAGCCGTAATATCATAATGCAGTGATGTAATGACAGATTATTAATTGCCTTTCAATTATATGTTGCTGCGTCATTAAACATCTGTCCTATGCATTTCAAACATTTATAGCAGCCATGGCTATATTTTTTTATGATTTTTTGTTATCTTGTTTTTCATGAATGTATTTTTCAAAAATAAGAGCAATGTGTATTATCTATTATTAATATGGTTTATAATAGCATTTTTGTCATAGATTATGACAAAGTAATCATATGATCCACCAGCGAGGAACCAGCAGAACAGAGTGAACATTCATTCTGTTTAGTTCAATCCTACTTAATAGGAATTTATTTAAAATGCTCGCTCTACTCCACACCATTAATGTCTTGTGCGGACATCCGTATTTCGACTTTCGGTTTTAAGTAAGCGATTTAAAAGCTCCCAAGTCCCAGCGGAGTCACACGTTGATTAACCGGTGGGAATATACACAATAGGCCTACCTGATATTGAACACAAGAGGGCAGTATAGCACTACGTATGACTCAGATTATTATTTTTTTATGAATTTTACAACAATTCTGGCTGTTTTTGAACGTAAACATAATTCTTAAATGAAAAAAAGGAAAAATTGGGGAAGTTATAATATTTGTATAATTTAATTTAGAAACAAATGATGTGTAATTACATTTTTAGAAGATATGAGGCTTTTAGTGTTTACTTTTTTGACATTACTTTAATCTTTTGCCATAGTTGCACATGTCTACTGGCTAATAAATGTGATGTATCTGTTGAGTTTCAAGCAATTTCAAGCATGCTAAGAGTCCCAAAAGCATCAAAAAAGTAATGTTATAAGTAATGTTAAAGGTAATTAGTTATAAGTAATGTTAAAGTTTGATTCGTTGCCACGGCAACAGTATCAAAGATATAAAAAATTCATTCACAGGTCTACATCTGCCGTGTATTTACATTATACAGATGAAGTTTGAAGCAAATCGGTTAAAAATAAGAGAGTGGTTTCAAAGCATTTTGAAAGTGACACACTTCCTGCTGCCAGTTGGTGGCGCTATAATTTTGACTCACAATAGTCACATCCATGTGATCGGTCTCTTACAGCGAAAACACTGCTGAAGTTTCATCAAGATCAGTTAATGTATGCTGAAGTTATAACACACATCCTGTTTCATGTTTCTCGCCATAATTTCGTTTCCTCGCCACGGCCAAACCGTTCGAGATATAAAAAATCCCTTGGCACCTTTTCATCCTTAATGTCTTGACTTCACGCTGATCGAGTTTTGTCGAATTTGGTTCAGTGTTCTAGTAGCAATACTTTAAATTCCATTGCATGTGTTTTAAACACAACCCTAAATAGCCGTCTTCCTGTTGGGCTGGGGTAAAAAGTAAGAGTGTGAAGTAGGCTATATATGAAACGATGAGATCTATATGTGTACCAAGTTTCATATTATTACATGCAAGTGTGTTTGATTTATGGACCAAATTTTCAGACCAAGTTTATTGACCAAGTTAATCTGATTAATAAACTAATTATATAAAACTATTGTCAATGCACTACAATTAAACTAGTTATATGTCTTTACTTATAAAAAATAAAAATAAAAACTTATTTAAAAAATACCAGGCTTGAGAAATGTATTTTCTTTATGCAGGTCATACACACAGCAGTGAAATGGTTAAGCCCCCTCCCCCTGCACACTCACTCACACACACACAGACAGGCAAAGACAGAGATGTAGGCTCAGATTGAGCAAGACCACATTCAAACAAACACATCTGACTTTCTGTGGGTCCTAGCTAATAAGTGTAAATTAGAAAGTTGTCCGGCTCGAGGAGTACAATATACATACCAATTTTTGTAACTCTAGTTAAAACTAACAACCCCACTTTTGTCAAAAGGTGGCGCTACTGAGCCCTCACCACGCCTGTTTCTGAAACTTTGCACATGTCTACTGGCTAATAAATGTGATGTGTCTGTCGAGTTTCATGCATTTTGAAGCATGCTAAGGGTCTCAAAAGCATCCTAAAAGCATCCTAAAAGAAGGGTAAAGTTTGATGCGTCGCCACGGCAACAGTTTCAAAGATATCAAGAATCCATTCACAGGTCTACATCTGCCGTATGTTTACATTATACATATGAAGTTTGAAGCAAATCGGGTAAAAATAAAAGGGTGATATCAAAGCATTTTGAAAGTGACACACTTCCTGCTGCCAGTTGGTGGCGCTATAACTTTGACTCACAATAGTCACATCCATGTGATCGTCCTCTTACAGCGAAACACACTGCTGAAGTTTCATCAAGATCAGTTAATGTATGCTGAAGTTATAACACACTTCCTGTTTCACGTTTCTCGCCATGATTTCGTTTCCTCGCCACGGACAAACCGTTCGAGATATCAAAAATCCCCTCGCAAACTTTCATCCTCAATGTCTTGACTTCACGCTGACCGAGTTTCGTCGAATTTGGATCAAAGCTCTAGGAGGAGTATATGACATTCCATTGCGAGCGTTTTACAAACAAACCTCAATAGCCGACTTCCTGTTGAGCTGGGGTAAAAAGTAAGAGTGTGAGGTATAGATGAAACGATGAGATCAACATGTGTACCGAGTTTCATATTATTACATACAAGCGTGTTTGAGTTATGGACCAAGTGTTCGGACCCCGTTCCAGGGGGCGCTGACGAGCCGCCCTACCACGCCCAGGTACCAGCTTCAGCCCAGCTCTGATGGCCGCGGGTTCTGACCCGTGTGCAAAGTTTCAAGAGTTTTCGAGCACGTTAAGGGCCCCAAAAGTGCCCAAAAGGTAGTAAAATAATAATTATTATAATAATAATAATAGTAAAGAAAAATAATCCCAAGGAAAACAATAGGGCCTTCGCCCTTTCAGGGCTTGGGCCCTAATTACCCGCACACATGGGGTGTTCGAGGCGCACACATAACACTGCAGAGAGCTCTTAAAGGGGCCACACCTTATTTACACTCGTTACAGTC